ACTAATAAATAATGTGAATGAAATAATAAATCAAACGTTACTAACATACCAAATTTTCACAGCAACCATCCAGATGTTCTTTCAAAGTGATTTGCACTTAGTTAACCTATGTAAAGAACTGAACAAATAAAGTTTGTAATGTAATTCAATATCATTGTGATACTACTTAAAAAAGTATTAAATAATAATATATTAGTTAAGTGAACCTGATAGTAGTCCGTAAAAGGTAGTACAATGACAATAAATGCTACGCAGTATCGAAATTCACACCTGTCAAAATAATCTCGATGCTACGATTTCCGCCATGATGGCATGTCCCACCCAGCCGCTTTCCTATTGGCTGACGTAAACGTCAGTAGAGGGCAGGCACTTACATTCTCTAGTTTATTTGCGGCGCGCAAAATTAAAATATTTCACGCGCGTCGTTCAAAACTCAGTCAATCAACTTTGACATTTTCAGGCGAAATAATTAATTTTCGATAGCGAATTTGTTTGTTCCGGCCGCAATTTTTACTTTTTCTATACTTTACGTAATTAAATGTCGAATATTTTAGAGATGAAAAGTATTAGTGTCGCGGAAGTAAAGTTGTAAAGTTTAGTATGCCGGAACGAATGCCCCCTTTGCAAATAGTTAAATTAATATTAGAAAGATAAAAAAACATCTGTGAAACTAATATTAGATACGTCAGTTTCTATTAATTAAGGGGCATGATGCTTTTGCACTAGAAGGCATAATGCACTGAGATTTTCTAATTGCAATATATTTACCATTTAATCAGTCAAATTTGTAGTTTGTTAAAAACAGTTCAGTGTTGCAAATAGGTATACGAAAGGATTAAATAAAGGAAGATTCACGATATGAGAAAGATGCTTAACAAGTAGAATATAGTTATTTATTTTTTTGTTATTTTTTTTATAGTTATAATTTTATTACAATGATGCATTATCGTTCAAATCAAAAGCACCATGGGGTTTGAAAAAATGCTCACGACGCTGAGTGATGGCATAATTTTTCGATTTGAAAAATCCACACGAATACATATAATTGTACGTTTATATGATGTATTTTTACGATATAATATCCATTTTTAAAACAACACAGTTGATACAGTTTTTTTTTTTTTTTTGTTTTTTATACAGTTACAGTAATTCGCATAATCAATTAGCAATCGGTGGCATATGATTAACATCGAAAGAAACTTTAATATTCGCGACTGTTTGCCGTGTACATACATACGTGCTGCTTACAATTTCGTCGATTAATTATAGTTATCGTCTTTCTTTATAGATATCGCGATATCCAAATTTATGATAAATTTCTCACAAGCAAAAAATACGAATATATTCTTCCTCCAAAATGTTAACACTCACAATTCAAAATAGTTAGAATATATTTCTATAAGATCGACAACAAGGAGCTTTAGTAGATCTCACGAGTCCTCTCTTCATTTCACATCGAAATATCGTTTCATTCCTCTCTCCACGCGTTAGACCTGAACATGCGTTGCTAAAAGTAGCTTAAATGTAAGAAAAATCTCAAGATAATGATTATCATTTGAATATCGTACAGTAACAATTGACTAAATCGATATTAATTCGACCGATATTATAAATCTTCTCATCGATTTTTTTTAAAAGACATGGCTTTAAAATGGTACCGTGTTCAGTATAAGAACTCTCAGCGATTGAAAGGATCCTCTGAATATTCTAGTGACAATGTTTCCAGTAGCTCGTTACCATTGTTGTAAAAAAATATGCAGTCCGAAGGTTTAATTTGTAGTAAGAATATAGCAACATTGTATGACTCGGTAGGCTTTCTAAAAACAAAACGGAACCTCCATCTTCCTTCTTCTGTACTTTCTTCACCTCAGTTTGACAAAGATCGGTCACGTTACAAAGTAAATAAGTCTAACTTTTTTTTCTATCACGAAAAATCTCGCGATTGCAGCATATTTGATTGATAGAACTTCTCAAGATAATCGCAATAAAAATTGTTTCAATAACGAGGAGAAAAGGCTGTAGCTGATAAATTACGTACAGGTTGCAGTATGTGTGTGTGTGGAGATACTTTTTCAAACAATTACTCGTCAAAACAAGTACATAAACACTTTGATCGAACATCACGGCGTGATCAATGAAACCCAAACCCGATTGATTGACATCTCTTTAATTATACACGATTATTGTATAATTGATATTTCTCACTATCTATAACATTAAATTACATGTCAATATGTAGTAAATACTGAATCATCCCCTCTTGGTATTACTTAGCCTACGTAATTCTAGTTACACGCTAAACGATCGTCAAAAATATATATAACATCAAAGTGGCGAAAGATTTTTCTCCGTGCCGATCGTCACGTGTCCGATTGATCGGTCAGTCGTCCGTTAGATTTCCCTCTTCTCCACTGTTAAAATATCATGTACTATATTATCATATAACGCGTGTTTCAAGCATTTATGCACTGATCAAACGGCAAAGAACGGAAAAAAAAAAAGGGAAAAATTGCTCAGTCTCCTCGGAACATTTGCTCTATGGAAGGCCGTGTTTGGTTCGATCGAGAAGAACATTAGATGTTAGATTCGCTA